CAATTCAAGGCACTTTTATAGACAGTCTTTGTTAAAAAGGTTCTAGAGAAACTTGTTAATTTGGAAGGGTTCATTGCTCCAAGCTTATTACATCTCAGACATTTTCACTGCAGCTCAGACTTCAGTTTTGATATTGGGAAAATGTTAAGTGACTAGTTAGACATCTTTTTGCACATTTTTAAATGAAAAGAATATGCCCAGTACTGAACAAATGGATCCATTAGTCTGTAGTTTAAAATTCATGAGATGTGTATGTTTGTAGTGGGTATATTTTCAAAAACGTGCAATTTGTTTTTAAGCAGACAGCCCATTCACCCAAGCAAGTTCTTGTCCAACCCTGCTGTTCTTATAAAGATTATTTAAGAATAATCTAATGCTATGCAATTCTCTGTTGGTATATTGTCCTTACCGACAGTTTCATTTTGTCGTTCATTGCCACATGCATTTGTAAGTTAAATAAATGGAGTACTCACACATGCAGTCCCCAGTAATAATTAATCTACATATCTGATTAAATGATTAGGATTAAAAGTCTCCCAGTGGCACCACGTGTAATCCATTGTAAAACCTGAAGGTTGCACATTTGGGATAGGACACATGCTTCAAGGTCTGCTGAATCTCAGAGGCAATGTTCACCACTAATGAAAACCAAAGGTTGTGTCTCAATGGTGTATTCAACAGAAAAAGTGGAGAGGGGCTAGTGGCATAATTAGTGCTTGCAGATCTAGAGGGTGAAGCTAGCTGCAGCAGCCTATGCCAATAGGCAACTTGTGTTCACTAACTTTATCTGCACTAAAATCATATGATCTAATAAAGTGTGTCAAAAGCACTTTTGAGGAGAATTGCCTTTTTCCCCTTCTCCATTTAGATGGCCCCCATATCTTAGCATCCAACAAACTTTAAGGGATCATCTTCAAAACCCTAGTATTTTTTCCAGTTTAGAGATGGGAAACTGTACGGACAAAGTCACTTGTCAAATAAGTCTGTGACAGAGGCAGGAATTGAACCCAGATCTCCAGATACATAGTCCAGTCCCTCAGCACAAGACCATGCTGAGTTCTAATACTGCAGCAGAAAAGGAGAAAAGCTAAACAGGAAAATTCAGGGAAGGATTTAAATTCTGTTTCTAAATTACCTTTCTCCAGTTCAGAAACTCTTTCTAGCAATGCACTCAGGGCTGTTTCTGTCTTTTGCCGATGGGCTGAAGTTTCATTATGAAGCAGGGATTTCTCATCCTCAAGTTCAGCCACTTTGCTTAAAAGCTGGCGCTCTAGATCTCCAAGCCTCCTTTGAAGCATCTCTCGAAGCTCATTAGGCAGGGCTGCATATGACACATTGGCTCGGAGTTGATGCTTCAAGGAAAAAAGAAAAGAAAGATTTCATGCCATATCTGAAAAAGCAAAAATTGTGAAATGTGGGTCTGCTCATGACCAAGGAAGCAAGCAGTTTTCAAACCCAGAACACTAAGCTCTCCTGAAAGTATAATAGAAATGCTAAAAAGCAACGTCATGTTCAAACCTTTCATCAGGCTAACGAAAGAAATAGACTCATTTCTTTAATACCAATGTATTTGTTTAATGCTTCCCTTGTTTCATATCAATGAAAGGTCATACATTTAAGAAAGATCGTTCAATAAAATAAATTCAAGAAGCCAAGTTTGATGTATTTCAAATAGCTACATGTTGCACATTTTCAAAAAATGAAAAAAAAAATGAAAAATGACATTACCAGACACTAAAGCAGAGTAAATTATACCAAGAAAATGTTTTGATTACTTTAAAAAAATCAAAATAGACATTTGGGGTATTTTAATTTGGTAATAGTGAATGATTTAACAAACAAGAGTTCAGATGTTTCATCAAATCAATTCTGAAAGTGACCCATTATGGAAGTTATTTGTTTAAGCTGTCAAAGTGGGCTAGCCTTTATCCCAAATGACTCTGATTTACTTAAATTACAGTTAGAAACCAAGAGTTTTATCTTCTATGGACATTTTAGTGCCAGAGCTTGTTTTCCCCACCAAAATTATAATGCCATCATGAGATGCTTCAATAAATAGCAGCATAATAGACTAATGTTTCACTGAACAGGAAAAGCTTTCAAAGTTGTCCTTGAGAAGCAGCCCTTTTTAAAATTTTATTTATTTTTTATTGAATGTTCTCTTCCAAAGAGAACAGGAGAACTAGAGAGAACAAAACAAAGAAACGGAAAGGGAGGGTAAAGAAAGAAAGGAATCGGGCAGAGGGGAGAAAAGAATGACATCTCAGTTTCCATCTGCTAGAAATTAAATCAAAGACCAAATCTTTTCAAATTTACCTGAGGTCCATCTTTTCTGAAAGATTATGTGCTCTCTAGCTGCCAGGTCAGCCGAGTCACTGTGCCAAGCATCTATCCCTGGAAGCAGTCCGGTCGTCCTCTAAGCAATGCAAGCTGTTTGGCTACAAGCACTGCTCTAGAGAACCAAGCTTTCCGTGAATTGGAGAGTTTCCAAGATGGTGGGTTAGATCCCAAAACACAGTTCTGGGAAGTAATTTTTAAGCAGATATCTATTACCATATCAATCCTCCTGCCTACTTCAAGCCAAGTGAATCATATTCTGGGACAGTCCCATAATATGCTAGACAGTGTGACTCCAGAAGAGCCTCATCTCCAGCAGCAGGCAAGGCCCAAGCACTGTAATCTATGTGGGGAAGTAGCCAATGAGGGAATGCCTTGAAAAATGTTTTAAAACCTATACTATTGGAGGTATTATTAAAACAGATTCAACAGCCATTCTGGTTAAAGAACAGCTAGTAATGGTTGACTAGACATGAACTTTTAATAAATCATTTTAAATCCTCTTGGGAATCACATACATCAGAATGGGGTGGGGGAAGAAAACACCTAGAATTCTGTCATGGTCTGGGGAAAAAACCCCAACACTCTGCTTGGAAAAAAAAAGTTTCCATCCAAGCAAACGTTGCCACAAGTGCTGTGTCTAACTGTGAGCCTGACCCAAGCCTTACTGAAGTCAATTAGAGCCTTTACACGGATTTCAGTAGGCTTTGTATTTGTACCGTTCTTTGAATGGCTGGCTTTCACTCTAGACCAGCTCTCATGAAAGCATCCTATGGTCTTTATGACCCACACTTCACAACTTTCTCAAGGGCCTTGCTGTTTTGTTCAGCACCCTATGTCAAGGTCATATGGCCGGACATGTCGGCATCATAGTCCAAGCCCTACGCAGGCACGTTCTCAGCACTAGCAGAGATTTAAAAATATTAAAAACAGATGCTAAGCTCATAACAGCAGGAAAATAAAACCCACAAATCTCTTCTCTTCCGTTTTAAGGGCAGGGACATACTAAGAGGGATACTCGATTTTCCATTAACTAAAAACAACAAATCAATTCTCTGTAGCCTCTCCTGCAGCGTCACTTCCCCTCCTCCCCCACCCTTTAAATAAACACATAAGGAATTCATTAACAATTTAACATGCACCCAGCACAAGGGCTTGCACCGCAGATTGCCGGTCTAAAGCACCCTTTTATTCAGAAAGTACAGTCCCCACATCCAGTTCTCTTCTCAAACCTCCCCTCCTATGCCTCAAAGGAAACGTGGGCCCTCGCTGTCACTACACTAGGGTATATATTTAGAGTCGCCCCTAAGAAGAGAGGGGGGAGAATAGATAACTGATTGACCCAGAAGTGGACTAAATAAAGGCTCTTGGCGAGCCCCAGCTGCAGGATGAACCATCTGTAGCTTCTGGGAAGCGATGCCGGTTCCTTTCAGTCTGTGACTGGGAGCAACTTCGTGAATTGCCCTTCCGAAAGAGGCCGTGTATTTTCAGTGGGTGACATCAGTCCCCCCAGGGCTATTCGTTACAGCCTGGCGCTGCCGTGGACATGGCACCGCGGATTAAAAGTGCTATACAGACATACACAGCAGCCGCCGCCGCCGCCCTCTTTGCAGCACCAGGGACAGCTCCCCATCCAGCCGGGCTCTAGCTTGTCCCGGAGCATCTCCTACCTCCAGGTTCTCCAGCCGGTCCTTCAGCGTCTGCATGGTCCGGCTCAGCTGGTCGATGACCTGGGTGTGGTCCCGGGGCAGGTCCCCCATCGTGTCTTTGCCTTTGGCAAACTCTTTCCTCCACCCTCCAGTGCCGGGCTTGCCGTCGGGGCCGGGGAAGCTCTCGCAGCGGCTCAGCTTGCTGGTCAGCTCCCGGATGGTCTCCCGCTGGTTGCCGATGGTCTCCTTCTGCTGCAGGATGGTCTCCCGCAGCTGCAGCACGGTGGCTTTCAGCTCCTCCTCGGAAGGGAGGGCGCCCCCCTGCATGGGGACAGGGGGCAGCGGGCAGCCTGAGGGGGCAGCGTCCAGCGGCAGGGAGGTGCACACGAAGCGGCTCCCCGGGGGGCTCTCCTGGCCCCTCACTCCCCGCCAGCTGGCCCCGAAGGCGAGGGAGAGCAGCAGCCCCGCCAGGAAAGCCAGCATGCCGGCTCACGGGGTACAGAGCCCCCGGGGGCAACGAGCCCTTAAAGCTGCGGGGAAGGGGGTGGGGACCACTTGGGGGACCTGGTGTAGCTCAGCCCCCGCGCGGAGCTCTCCGGGGCGGCTGGGACCAGGCGCTGTCCACGCCCTCCTCCGAGCACGGTCGGCGGCGGCCCCGGACAGCTCGGAGCAGAGCCCGCTCCAGGACCTGCGCCGCCCTAGCTGCGGCGCTCGGCTCCGGCTCGCGGGCTCTTAAAGGCAGGGCGGTGGGGGAGAGGCCGGCGGGCGCTGGGTGAGGCGGGCGCTGGTTGGTCGGGGCGCGGGCTGACGCCACGCGGTCCCCCGCGCACCAAGGAGCCGGAGTGGGTGTGGGAGGCCGGGGAGACTTCCCATTGGCTGCTCGTCAGGACTGGGAGACGCGCGAGCCCGTTCAGGCGGGCCCCAGGCAAGTCAAGGGAGAGCCCCGCCGCCTGAGTCATTAGCCCGCGGCGGGGCTGGGGCTGGGGCTGAGGCTGAGCCTGGTGGGGACACGCAGGCGGCACCGCTGACGCTGCTTCGGGGGGCGGATTGCAGGCCGGTGATGAGTACAGGAGGGCGCGGGGGCTGGCAGAGCCTCAGCTGGATCCATGCTGGACGCTCCAACAAAATAGCCCGCTCGGGGGAAAAGACAGCCACGTGGTGAAAGCACCGGATCCGCAACTGGGTTCCTGTCCTGTCTCCAAGTCACTGTCTCTGGATGCCTCCGTTTACCATTGTTAGGATGGGCATCCTGCTACTTCCCTACTTTACGCCATCCATCTAGTGAGGGTAAATTACTGCAGCCACAATTTTCAAAAGTGGCCAGATGTTGAGATTTTTGGTTGCTCAGCCTTTGATCTGGTTCTTCAGAAGTGCTAAAAGGCTCACAACCCCCAGAGGAAGTCAATGGGAGTGGGGGGTGTTCAGTGCTCATGTCTGTGCTGAGATATTCCATATAGAAAGACACTATAACTTTGAAGTGATACTAGGGACTTCCCCTTTCTCCAGTCAATGTTGTGTTGACTGGTGAATTGTTCAGTGCAGTTCATTTTCAGGCAGAACTGAATTTAAGCATGCAACTACTTGCATTTCAATGTGTGTAGTCATCAGCTATCAGGAATACCCATCACCCACTGCCTGGGGAACAGGTTTCAGAGTGGTAGCAGTGTTAGTCTGTATCAGCAAAAGTGTTCCTAAAGTATCTCTGCTTGTAGGTGGAAGCCCTAGGACCCAATTCAGAAAAGCAGGTAAGCACTTACTTAAGACAATCCCATTCAGGAAAGCATTGGCTTCTGTGGGACTTAAGCACATGCTTAAGTGCCCTTCCTGAATTGGGATTTTCTTCTGAATTAATGCTTTAGGGCCTGATCCAAAGTCCATTAAAACTAAGTCCTTCCACTGACTTCAGTGGACTTCAGATCAGGTATTTCATACAGAATATTAAAATTTCTAAGGCAGTGACTCTCAACCTTTCCAGACGACTGTACCCCTTTCAGGTGTCTGATTTGTGTTGTGTATCCCCAAGTTTCACCTCACTTAAAAACTACTTGCTTCCAAAATCAGACATAAAAATACAAAATTGTCACAACACGCTATTACTGAAAAATTGCTTACTTTCTCATTTTTACCATATAATTATAACATAAATCAATTGGAATATGAATACTGTACTTACATTTCAGTGTACAGTGTATAGAGCAGTATAAACAAATAATTGTATGAAATTTTAGTTTGTACTGACTTCACGAGTGCTTTTTATGTAGTCTGTTGTAAAACTAGGCAAATATATAGATGAATTTATGTACCTCTCCCGCCCCCAGAAGATGTCTGCATACCCCCAGGGATACACATACCCCTGGTTGAGAACCACTGTTTTAGGTCAATAACGTCATGTCTTCAGACTAGATAAAGAGTAATTGGTTAATGTCTGTATTATACTATGAAGATGTAAACTATTAAGGAGTATTCATTATTAAAAGCATGAATACAAAAATACATACTAAAGGTCTGATGGATGTTTGTGAGGTACCATGCATCTGTAAGTGCAATGGCACAGGGAAGAGCAATGTTTGGCATTTCAATGAGCTTTAAGTTGGCACCACAACACAGGCACAACACTCACAAGCTCTGCAGTGCATTATACCAGATACACACTTATTTGCCTCTTATTTTTAAGGAATACTGTTCAAGAGTAATTAGTCTTGTTATCTCTAATACTATGTATAAATAGATTTGTCATTTCTATTACAAAGCCAGCAAACAAAAAATTATTTTGGCAAAGAATTTCATTAACATTAAATGAAATTATTATGAGGATATAAAACTGAATGCACATACAATTGATTGGGCATCCTGCTTATTATATTGATTCTGTGATGTGCAAGGATGGTGCTTCATAACTATATCCAAGTGATATAGGTCATGTTTAATTCTTTCATGATTTAGCAAGATCAAGTTGAATAATTTCTGATCAATTTAAATAAGTAGATATCTCATGCAAAGAGAAATAGGATGCAATATCCTTAAAAGAATTGATTCAGAAGTTTCTAGAAAAAAATCATGTTAAATGAAATTCAGACAATCAAAGAAATATCTCAAATATAATTGTTTGGAGTATTAAATGTTTTCATATTATTAAGTTCCAATTGCAGCTTTAATGAATATTTATCCAAGACCAAAATTGCCATATTTCATCTGAATGTGTTGTCCAAAATTTAAGTCTGCTATCATTTTCAAATGGTAATCTCAATCCAGAGTGTTTTTTACCATGGCCCTAATCTGGCTGCCATTGACGTGAATGGCAAAACTCCCATTGACTTCATAGATTCAGGAACAGATCCAACACACAGCAGCAAATTTTGCAGTTTGAACCTAGGCTCTTTAAATTAGTGTTTCCTTTTATTTGTTGTAAACTGACTAGCCATTTAAGCCTTAAGATGAGATGGTGGAAAAAAGTTTATCATATTAGGTAGCGGAGATATTTTAACATTTATGGTCCTTTCATCACATACACAATCTATCCTCCTAGGTTTGCTTATGTCGCTTGACAGGTGTGTACTGTTCACATTATTTTGTCCTTGAAATTGGAAAGAGCTTCATATTTGAAGTGGTAAGAAGAGAAAGAGGGAATTTATCTGATTTGCAGAAGACCGGGAATTTCAACCCTAGGAAATGGTCCTGCAAATGCTCCATAAACAATAGTTGCATTGATTTTAATGGACCATTCTCTCTAGTGAGAACTTGAAGGACTGGATACATAGTCACAGAGATTCTCAGTTCATACAGAAATAAAGCATGATAGCAAAGTCCTACATCCATAGAATCCCTCATTTGCCCATCTGGGAACAGAGACTATCTATCCACTTTATTCTCCGAATATCCTTTCCATCTACAAACCCAAGTAGTATCATCTGAAAAACAACTACAACATTCAGTACATTCACAGGACTGTGTAACCCTGTTGGAGTTCATCAGCCTGAAGAGAGAAAACAATGTTGTACAATGATGGAGAATGAACAATCCACACCCAAAAGGGGCCCCAAGAATCATCTATAACTGGTTTTTATCTTTCCCTGAATGCCCCCCAAAAACACAGTTCTTCCAGAGATGTCACGTGTGACCCACCTACCAGTAGGAGGTGGCCAGCACTTCCGGACAGTAGTATTGAGCTGTCTTGTGGCTCCTACCTATTGAACTTTAAGTTAGTTTCTTTTATATGTTGAATTATACCAAGCTAAATTTATCCCTGATTTACTTGCTCTGAGTTAAGGGGACATACACCACAGATGATTTTGGCCCATAAATGCTGTTATTCTTACCCGGGGTTCTTTCAACCCAAAGCTCTTGGTAACTTTTACTCTGTGCAAGGTGGTGTCAGGAAATAAATCAGGGGAGACATGGCCGTCCAACCGATAGATGGCTGGCACAAACAGGACAACACAAGAGTGCTTTCACTTAAAGCTAAACTTTACTTAGTCTCAAGCACTTATACACAGGTCTGCAACAGGTTAGTAAAACTCCCCCAACCCTTGATAATTATCAAAGCTGAGTGTGGCTCTCGAGTGGCACAACGACAGCCCGTCTGCTAGTGGGGAACACAAAATGCATCCAGAGGGAGAGTCCAGTCATGAAGAGTCCCCCACCTCAAACTTTTCCCCCTTATTTATACATTAGTAATAGAATGACATGTCCGTTAAAGCAAACTTGTTAAGTAAGCAGTTTCAATGGTCAAGCGAGAGGTTCCTTCTGATTATCGATTAACCAGGTGTGAGTTTTTCCAGAGTTTGCAGCCTTGAGGCCCCAATAGACATTCCTGGGGCACATCCTGCTCTTCTAAGATGCATGTATCAGCAACTTCAACACAATTCTTATCAGGAAGGATGCGGGGTCAAGCTGCCCTTTCTGTGGCACCCAAAACCCCCCCTCCCCTCCTGCCTTGGTTAAACTGAGACTGCTGAATGGCCAATTTACAGCCTGCTGTCTTGGCTGCTTTTAGCAATAAGCCATAGTGGTTTACTGCTTTGCCAAAGTCTCCCCCTACATTATGACTTTAATAATAACATTACCACAGTGTTTGCATTGACATTTGCAAGCAATTTGGGGGTGGGAGGGAGAAGGAGGGAAGACCATACAAGAATGTTTTCACTAAAATAATATTAAAATGATCTAATAGAGCAAAAATTTAAAACTTGGGTGCCCAATGGAAGATGACAGTACATTTAGATGCCTGTCTTTAGGTGCCCATTTTTTAAAATATTTACCTCAATAGTTAGCACTTTTATTGATAAAGTATTTTACATTTTCAAAGCCATGTACAAACATCAATCATTGCAAATCTCCTGTGGATCTGTTGTAGGTAAATATTATCCTCATTTTGCAGATGGTGAAAGTGAGAGAGAGATTTTTATGCCTGAATACAGGTTCTTCTACCTCGCTCTATAACACAGGGTAAGAATGTACCTCTAACATGCATATTATAAAGCAATTTAGTTTTTAAAATATTTAAATATAAAATTAATGATATTTTGTGACAGAACAAAAAATAACATTTGTTTACAATAAATAGTGCAACTAATAAATGTTTGATAATGCCTAGGTACTGTGAAAGATCTTTAGTTCTATTTGATTAATGCGTAAATTGCTAGATTTTTCAGAATATTATGGAGTTTCAAGAAGTGTGTATAAACAATGATATGATTGTATCTGACTTCCGAATAAAGTCCAGAAGAACTGCTTGCTGATATTAACTAAACCAGGAATTTCTCTAGCAATATCCTATTTGACTGAGGATCACATTAGTCAAAGCTAACCAGGGTCATCCTTAAGTCATGCAACAAAAATATGATTCTGAGCTTATTTATTCAAGAGGAGAAAGTTTGCAGAATTGATCTAAGTAACATCCAAAAGTTCAGATGCTTGTTCAAAATATCCCTTTTGTCTGGGGACAGAGACTCATGCTGTCCTAGTTTGGACTGGGATAGGAATAAGCACTCAGATATTATGAAGATGAGGGCCATATAAGTACCCTGAAATCATCATGTCACTCATCTCAGTATCTTTTTTTCCCAGGTAAAGTCAAGAAGTGTAGAAATACATACACAACTTAGCAAACTTTTTCACTCTGAAAGTAAGTTTGAGTTTGACTAAATCCGAGCTTTGTTGGATAGGTACAGGTTTCTTTTTTACAACTGGTTCCTCACTCCTTAATAGGAATGTTGGTGATATTTTATGGAACGACCTCATTGTAACCAATGATAGGCCAGCTTTTCAAATTTCAGATCCAGATTTTTAATTCCAGCTCTGGAGACGACAGGTGTTTGCATCCAGGGTTTTGGCTTGACCCATGACAGGGGTAGAGATAACAATACTGAATCCTCCTCAAAGTCCAGCAGTGTTTGGATCTGGGTGTTTTGTTTCTGGCTCTTCTTTAATTGTAACTGGATTTTGGCACAGAGATAATGACACATTTCGGCAGGTTGGGATATAATACTCCTGCCAGTAGTAAGCACTGCATGTCTGACTTCCAAAGTACTGTACACTATATGGCAGTAAATTGGTTATGAGAACAAAAGCATTGTCCCATAATCCAGAACTGTACTTTATCTTTCATTTTGACAGGCAAGGTCAATAAGATAGCAAAGAATCCTAACATAGAGAATATAAGAAATGGCAGATTCCATGCTCCATGAATGTAACCATGGAAGGAGGCCCGGTGAAGGCAGAGAGGGAATCTAGTAGTAGCCATATTCTTCATTAATGTTATCCATATTTTTATTTGGCATTTCAGTACTAAAATAACCCCATCTTCTAGATTCCAAGGCCTTAAGTGAGATAAATATTTGTTAAATGCACTACTTGCAACTACAGCGGTTGTTTTGATGTTTAAGAGCATATAAATCTTCATTTTGAGTCACTAATATGCATCAATTGTTTATTGGCTTGGAAACAACCAAACCAAACAGAGATAGTCTGCTGTCTTTGCTGCCGATTTGTTATTAGATGATAAGGCTTAAGCAAGTTCCATAGTTAATCACTGGAGTTGTTTTAATAAGGACAGTTGAGAGGAAAATATTTTTCTGCTTTTAAATGAGAGGTACGGGTGTTCATGTACAATGGCAATATATTTCACCACAGGATAAGTGTTTTCTGGGGAAGCAGAATCAGATTACTATTTCAGTCAAAATGATTCTAAAATTTCTTGACCCTAAGGACTGTCTCACAGTCTAACTTCTCTGCAGCCCATAGAATGGCTTCTTAATTTTTTATTTAACTTTGACAATTTCTCCTGCCTTCAGAAGGGTGTTATTCTCTTCAGATACAGCATTTGCATTCTGGCTGCTATCATTATTTATCTTTGATGCACAATTTCATAGAATCATAGAATATCAGAGTTCGAAGGGACCTCAGGAGGTCATCTAGTCCAACCCCCTGCTCAAAGCAGGACCAATCCCCAACTAAATCATTCCAGCCAGGGCTATGTCAAGCCTGACCTTAAAAATATCTAAGGAAGGAGATACCTCCACCACCTCCCCAGGTAACGCATTCCAGTGTTTCACCACCCTCCTAGTGAAAAAGTTTTTCCTAATATCCAACCTAAACCTCCCCCACTGCAACTTGAGACCATTACTCCTTGTTCTGTCATCAGCTACCACTGAGAACAGTCTAGAGCCATCCTCTTTGGAACCCCCTTTCAGGTAGTTGAAAGCAGCTATCAGAGCTCCCCTCATTCTTCTCTTCCGCAGACTAAACAATCCCAGTTCCCTCAGCCTCTCCTCATAAGTCATGTGTTCCAGTCCCCTAATCATTTTTGTTGCCCTCCGCTGGACTCTTTCCAATTTTTCCACATCCTTCTTGTAGTGTGGGGCCCAAAACTGGACACAGTTCTCCAGATGAGGCCTCACCAATGTCGAATAGACGGGAACGATCACGTCCCTTGATCTGCTGGCAATGCCCCTACTTATACATTCCCAAATGCCATTGGCGTTCTTGGCAACAACAGCACACTGTTGACTCATATCCAGCTTCTCGTCCACTGTAACCCCTAGGTCCTTTTCTGCAGAACTGCTGCCGAGCCATTTGGTCCCTAGATTTAGATTTAAAATATCTAAGACCAGAACTTTGATATGTTTTTAAAATGCAGTTGGACTCTAAAAAATTCGGATGGTTTTGTGGTTATGGTATTGGACTCAGATGCAGGAGCTGTGGATGCAACTCCTGGCTCTTGCATTGATTCCCTGTGTGACCCTGGGCAAATCACTAAAGGTAACATTTTCAAAAGGACCATTTTCAAAGGTGACTTAGGCACTTAGATGTCTAAGTCCAATTGACTTTCAATGAGATTTAGGTCCACATCTTTAAAGGTATTTAACCATTGCTGAGTTCAGTATTGCAAGGCCTAAGTCCCATTTTCAAAAGTGATTTAGGCACTTAAGATGTGTCTACACTGCAATTAAAAACCCACAGCTATCTCATGCCAGCTGACTCAGGCTCACAGTGCTAGAAGCCCTGTGAGATGGGAGGGCCCCAGAGCCCAGGCTGCAGTCTGACCTGAATGTCCACCTTGCAGTTAAACAGCCCCTTAGCCTGAGCCCTGCAAGCCCAAGTCAGCTGGCATGGGCCAGTCTGTAGACATACCCTTAGGAGTCCATGTGTTACTGAAAGTCAATGGCTCTTAAGTTCTCAGTCACTTTTAAAAATGGATTTAGCCCTCTGTGGTAGGGCCCACTTCCTCCTGCCTCTGCTCAAGCATACAAACAGCTCAGAGCCCTTTTTGTTGGTAAAATACCTGGTGCGGTTTATTTACAATATTAATATCCACTATCCTTATTCACTATACAGCCTAACCCCTATAGTCCTAGGGAGCCCTCAGCTCTGGAGGCAGGCAGGGAAGAGTGATGGATCTAGATCTCTCATACTTCCTTTCCCACTTCCTTCCTGTGCCTTTTGTATGCCCTGCCTAATGGCCTAATTAGCATCTTAGTTCTCCTCAACCCATCAGTTAGGCACAGCTCTTCTTAATCAGGTCTGCTCTACAGTAATTAAGTAGAGGTGCAGTGACCAGAGGGCTGGCTCAGCTGCTGTTGCCCAGCACTCTGTCACACCATCTAAGTCATTTAGGGCCAGATTTTTAAAGGTATTTAGGCACCTAAAGATGTCACTAGGTGCCAAATGGGATTTTCAGAAGTGGCTAGGTGCCTGGGGCCTCTTGAAAATCCTTCTAGTCACCTATCTGCATATTTAGACACCTAAAGACCTTTTAAAATTTGGCTTTTGAAAATTTTACTCTTAATCTCTCTGCTTCATTTCTCCATCTGTAAAGTGGGGATAATATTCCTTCCTTTCTTCCACCTGGAATAGAGCAGCCCTACCTAAAGTTCCTGAAGCTCCTGCATTAGCCACCCCAGTTTTCCCTTTCAGAGTCCTCAATAACCACACAACTCTCTTGCCTTAATGATTCCCCCTCCTTGGGGCCTGTTAATTACCAAAAAGTAGATCAAATAATCCCCAACAAGAAGTTCCCACCATAATCCATTTCCCACAGGCCACCAATTAGGCACAGCTCTTCTTACTCTAGTGCAGACCTTATTAAGAACCCTGCTCTTCCCTACAGGCACTCAAAGTAGCCTCACTGCTGGGAGTCCTTCCATACCATACCATACTCTGATGTCTTCCACTACACCTAGGCTCTTAGTTGTTCCTCTTCCGTACCTCTGCCAGGACAGACACTCCAGCCGCTTCAGTCAGAAAGGAACTCCAGTCTTCTCAGCAGAAACTGCTACAGCCTCTCTTCTGGAAGATCTGGGGGAGCATCCCTCTGTTCCCCTGGCCTTCTCCCTGTTCCCCTCGGTCCAGCTCATGGGTGCTCATGGGAAGCCCCTAGGCTGTTCCCTTGCTTTCTGCCTTTTTTGACCCTTGGTTTTGGCTCTCCATCTTAGATGTCAGCAAGCAACTCCCTCTGCTGCTCTCTGGCCTTCAGCCCTCTAGATCTGGCCCTCTGGCTCAGGGAAGTCAGCTGACAAATGCTTCTTGCTGCTCTTTGGCCTTCAGTCTTCTCCCACGAACCAACCACAACTTCCTTCCAGGACTTTCCACTATCCCTCTGGTCTCTGGCAGCTCTCACTGGCCCTGACTGACTGTCTGTGCTCTACAGTAACCCTCTCTCACCAGGTGCCTCTCCCTTGAGGGCCCAGATCCGTATTTTAAGCCCAGTTGGGAGGCAGCTGATGATCACTGGTGCACTGACCCTGCTTCCTCTTAAGGCACATCCATACAGGGAGTGGGAGCCCACTGCAGCAAGTCTGAGGGGCTAGATTGAGAGACTCAAGCTCATGGGGCTCATGCTCCAGCACTAAAAATAGCTGTGCAGACTGTGAAGCTTAGGGTCTGAAGACTATTGAGGTGGGGGGCTTCAAAGCCTGAGCTAAGACCCGAGGTGCAATGTCTACATAGCTATTTTTAGAGCCATAGCCTGAGCCTGTTGACCCGGCCTGTGAGACTCATTGCCACAGGCTGCCACTAGCTATGAAGATGTACCCTAAAAGGTAAAACCTTTTGCTTATCTTGCCTATTTAAATTGTAAACCTCCTAGGCAGGGATTATCTCTTACTATATATTTATACATCACCTAGTATAATGGGACCTGATCTCATTTGATGCCTTTAGGCACTACTCTAATACAAATAATAATAAATATGTTCTTTAATATATGAATCTCTGAGAAGGTCCTACCTAGGCCAATGATGATAATTTCTAGAGGTTATGCATACAGAACGTCCTTCTCTCTGGTTTCTGATGACTCCAGTGACAGTTTATTATTAAGAATTAACATAATGCAGATCTATCTTTAGAATGTGATTAGCCAAACCAAAGCACGTACATAATTATCAGGAGAAATCGATTTCTCCTGAGTTCAGTGTCAAGATTTACGGAGAGGAAGGCTTGATATTGAATCTTAATTTTAGTATAAGGCAGGCTGTCCAAAGCAAGGAGAGACTATTAGAATCATAAATGGCACAGAGTTTGGAAAGGTATGGATAGAAAAAGAGTATTTTTCACTAAAATGATTCAGGAATTTCTGTCAAGTGGACAGATTTTCAAAACTGCTCAGCACCCCAGCAGACATGGTTGCTGCTAACTGTTGAACGCTTTTGAAAAACTCGCCATTTCACTTCTCCCTGAATGGGAGATGAATTCTTTGGAAAATCTGGCCCTTTCTCTCTAAAACAGCCACAGTGTTAGCCACAGTGCTTAAATGTGTTTCTTGGAAAGAAAAGCAGATGTTTAGGTTATTATTGTATTGTAAAGATACATTTATTGCAAAGTTCTGCATGTTGCAGCCAGTAATCTCAGGGGAAAAATACATTTATTAACAAACAAAAAAATCTTTCCTTTGGTTCTTGCATTTCTTTTTTCAACAAAAGACCAAGGACCAAATTAATCTCTGTTGTAACTCCAACAAAGTCAGTGGAGTTACACCAGTGATAAAGCCTTAACATATGAACTTAGTTCAGTGTCCTTGATAATGTGCTTACTGAGATGATCAAAGCTATAAACAGCATCCTTGCTTAAATTTGAATATATACCTTTCAGAGTCTGAAATTCATAAAATGTAGGGATGTTCAAACATGAGCTTTGGTTTCAGCCCATCCCTATTTTAGATTTTTTAATTGATAAAATAAAGATGAAATATTACAAGAAACTAACAGAGAAGGGAGATAATCTCTCATTATTTCAGTTTCCAGTTCTGTTCTAATCTGTAAAACTATCGAAAAAATCCTGGTCCCACTCAAATTAATGGGAGTTTTGCCATTGATTTTAATAGGGTCAGGATTTCTTCTGATATCCATGGATACATATTACTTTTCTTTCATTTTTCCTCAGTTAATGACTCCCACCATTCAAGACCCAGAATCACAGTGAACTTCCTTCCAGCAGAGGTGGGAAAAGTGTGACTTCCTTTAGCGCTAATCAGTGTGAATCCTATTTGTCATATTCAAAGGCCATGAGACATTCAACAAATGATCTGGCTGCCTATAGTGTTCCTATACCCCATCACTGCCTCTTGATAGGAACAAGTGACTGTGTCTGGAACTCAGAGCAGCTTTTTCACCTAGTAACACAAATCACCAAATAGAGCAGTGGTTTTCAAACTTTTTTTCTGGCAACCCACTTGAAGAAAATTGTTGATGCCCGCAACCCAACAGAGCTGGGGATGAGGTGTTTAGGGTGTAGGAGGGGCTCAGGGCTGGGGCAGGGGGTTGAGGTGTGGGCGGGGGTCAGGGCTCTGGGCTGAGGGTGCAGGGTTCTGGGGTGGGGCTGGGGATGAAGGGTTTGGGGTACAGGAGGGGGCTCTGGGTTTGGGGGGGGCTCAGGGCTGGGGCACAGGGTTGGGGTGCGGGAGGGGGTCAGGGCTCTGGGCTGGGGGTGCAGGCTCTGGGGTGGGGCTGGGGATGAAGGGTGCAGGAGGGGACTCCAGGTTCAGGGGGGGTTGGGGTACAGGAGGGGGCTCTGGGTTTGGGGGGGCTCAGAGCTGGGGCAGGGGGTTGGGGTACAGGAAGGGGTCAGGGCTCTGGGCTGGGGTGCAGGCTCTTGGGTGGAGCTGGGAATGAGGGGTTTGGGGTGCAGGAAGGGGCTCTGGGTTTGGGGGGCTCAGGCCTGGGGCAGGGGATTGGGGCTCGGGATTGGAGCGCAGGCTTACCTTGGGCGGCTCCTGGTCAGTGGTGCAGCGGGGGGTACTAAGGCAGGCTTCCTGCCTGTCCTGACGCCACGGACCGCGCTGCACCCTGGTAGCAGCCTGCAGCAGGTCCAGCTCCAGTCAGTGCTTGGAGTCGGTGCTCAGGATGGGGGCAGTGTGTGGAGCCCCGTAGCCCCACCGCCTAGGAGCTAGACCTGCTGCTGGCCGCTTCCAGGGCACAGTGTGGTGTCAGAACAGGTAGTGACTAGCCTGCCTTAGCCGGGCAGCACAGCCACCAGGACTTTTAATGGCCTGGTCGACAGTGCTGACCAGAGCCTCTGCAACCCAGCGCCTTATGTTCCATGACCCAGTACTGGGTTGCAACCCGCAGTTTGAAATCACTGAAATAGAGAACCATTAGGTCAGCCACTTCAAGACCTTGTTGCTTTCCTAATGCAGCCCAAATATTTAACCAAAAATACCACCTCTACAAAATACAGTAGGGAAGTAGGCCAGTTTTCATGGGGCCAAATCCTGAGGCCCTTAGTCACTTGTTACACAGTTCTTATTGAGGCAATTTCCTGTGGAGTCCTAAGTCCAAAGGGAGTATGAAACTCAAGATTTGTCACATGATGTAGAAAATCCATCTTGTGACATACATTTAAAATCCTCAGACACATATTATGCAATACTGCAACATGCCACACATCTTCATAAATTCAGATTTTGACATATATTGTACAAGTACCTTCTCAAAGCTCCCAATCCCTATTACTCCACGCGCAGCAAGACAGATATGTCCCATGAAGCATCTCCCTTTGGGAAAAGACCTAATGGCTCTCAGTCTGTATATAACTACAGCTGAGATGCAAGCGCAAGATTGGAAAATTCCTTCCTCTCTTCCGATCTACTTCTCATTGTTAACATCAGCCAGCACCATTATAGCAAGGATTATAGCTTGCAGTGTAGTAGCTGTGATAGCTGTATAGATACATAATTATTAAATCTGCTTTTAATTTCAGGGGCCTCATTGCTTTGCCTGAGAACAGAATGGATTACCTTGGGCTACTACAGCTACAAGTACATTTAACTACCATCTGTATAATTATTATGACTCACATAGTGGCCCTGCTTTGCTGGCATTCTAGAATCACTGAGCCTTGACCCTTGGTAAGTCCTTTTCGCTACCCCAACGTAGAGCTGAGGTTTCCCCTTTTGTAGATGGTGGAATTTTGTCCTCAGAGTAGGTAGTTCACTAGGACTGTGATATTGACAAGGGATTTTGTGATACAGGGGGTGCAGACAGACAAATACAAATAGATCATCATCAGGTCCCATGTTCATGTTTTTAAAAAAAAACTCCAAAAACTTATGACTGAAATCCCCGCCCCCCTCCATAACTATACACTTGAATTTATGTCTAGGAGCCACAAATGAGACTACTATTCAAACTATGCCCCCATCTTGTCATATAAAGGATGAAAGAAGAGAATACATGAGAAATCTTGGAGAAAAGGCAGAAAAAAACCTCTTATGCCTTTCAGTAACGAACATTACTATGGAAGCTTTCATGTAGGGAAGTTAGGTTTTCCATTCTTTCAGAAGTGCAATGATAAGCTTGAGTTATATCTACAGGGTTTTTTTTTTCTCCTTTCACTATTTCCATGTCTCGCTCTGTGACTGACAATTAGAGATTACATCTTGACCCATATGACATTTAAAATGCCAAAGCATCAGGTATCCTGAGATGATGTTAGAGTGACTCAATAGACTTCATCGCTATTTCTAATGACTGCAACAAAAGAGTCTCTTGGTTTGCTGGGGGGGGGCGGGCGGGAAAGTCATTGTCGGCATCAATTGAAGGCCCTTTTAAGAGACACTAGTCTTATAAGGGTGCACCTACATTGAAGCAGACTTATGAGGGAGAGAAATTATTGGAGAATTACAGATAGTGGATTTCTTACATTTTAGCTAAGGATTCTGCACCTAAGATTTGTTATACTTTATAGTTAAATTTCTTGAGGACAGATTGTGGAGCCCTTACCCTGGTGAACATTTACTCATGCAAGTAGTCATGCTGGGTGAAATCCTGGTTCTGTTGACGTCAATGGGAGTTTTGCCATTGATTTCCATGGGGCCAGCATTTCACTCATTAATTTCCATCAGGCTATTTGAGCTAATACATGCTTATCTGTGTGACAAAGGGTTAAACGGTCTATCCTTTTTCAGATAAGATTTGTCAAAAAGGATTTGATTGCACTGCATGAACTCTGTTGGCCAGATTGTGATCTCATTTCCACTGGTGTGACTCCAGAAGAACTTCTCAATGCTCATAATACCATTACGACCTCCTCCTCCCCATCCACGTTTGTTTCATCCATCTGTTGTGTCTTGTCATTTACCAAGATTGTCAGCTCTTTGGGACAATGACTGTCTTTTTACTAGATTTGTACAATGTCTAGCACAATGAGGCCCCAATTCCTGATTGAGGGCTCTAGGCACTACTGCAATACAAATAGATAATTAATAATTTGTATAATGGAATTACTCTAGATTTGCTTATGGTCAATGAGATCTGATCCTATCACTAATTGTTCTATTCAGCTTCAGTTGTTTCTTTGGTACCTTGCACACACAGTGACATAACAGATAATACATTTATTTCTTAGATTGATGTAGATTTGCTAGGGGAACACATAGACCAGTAGTAATTAAACTTGCAAATTTTTGGTGTTTTGTGTTTGATTTAAATTGGTTGATGCCACTCTAAATATTATGAAACATTAGCATATTCATTTGTTCAATAGACCAGAGTTGAATATTTTCATTTCTTTAAGCAATAAAATTGTGCAGTAGAAAACTAATTTGATACAATTTCCAGATGAACTGAAAAATAATGTCTCAATAATCCACGCATTTCAGTCTGTGAAAAATATCTTGCACTAAGAACAGCATGTTCTGGTCCTTGCTGTGCATCATCTAGTCTGGACAAAGGTCTAAACGAGTTTGTGAGTAGTGTGAAAAAAAATCACAGATTGTCTGACTAGCTGTCTGGAGGGCAGAAAAAAATCTTACTTGTCTAGGTTTGATTGAAACCTGAGTTAACTGCCAATGCTCACACAAACCAGAAAAACAGGATTAAAGGCCAAGGAGATATTAACAGTAGACATCTTGTACCTCTACTTTGACAGATGATTTTCACAGTTCTCCGATTTAACAGCAGTTCTGACAAAGGCAAATGAAATAATTAATAACAACTCAGGATTAAAGAATCAAAGTCTAAACTCCCATAAAACTATCTGAAAGATTTATAATAATGACGCATAGAGATACAGCAGTTCACTTAGCTATGAAATTTTAAGTTGAGTAGATGTCGGTACATTAAAATCCAATTAATTTCATCTCTTTGTACAATGCTAAGATCCTTAGTCATCTATTTATTTCACTAACACTGGAGCGTTTTAAATGTGACCCAGTCCCATTGTTATCTGGGATTATGGAGCTACCATAGTGATTCTATAGTTAAAGTTGTAAGGAGGGGGACTGAATCATTTAATTAATGTAGCCTCTTCCTACTTGCAAGCAGATCATGACTTCCTCCTATTTATTTATTACTTGAATTTACTCAAGGAACATGTGTATGTATGTGTGGGGTGGTGGGGGAGGGTTCATTTCCTTACTCTATGGACTGATCACAAACAATTCAGCGGGACTGTTGACTACTCCAAATGAGCTATGTTGGTTAGTTGTGATTGGTCACGTAAGTCACATGGTAGTGGGTTTGTGCCCTGATTGAATAAGGAGTGCATCTTTTTAGAATCAGAATGAGGGCTTGGATTCTTTCAGAAAGAGGGAATAAATAGTTATTTTATTTTAATTTTTTCACCAATGATATTAAAACATTTTCCTTTGTGGGCACGCAGGCATTGCTCAAGATCAATTAGTCCCAGAAAAATTAGGTTGTTGTAAGATTTATTAACTTGGGAGCAGAGTTTAAATGTTATGTTCCTTTGTCACAGTTACACAAAAGCAATTATGCGTGGGTAAGAAGTCCTAGTTATGTAGGGTATGGTCTCAAAATCTTGTCTATCTTATATAATTGCCATTATACAAGAACTTTGTATAGTGTTCTACAATGCATTACAAGGGGTTTAATTGCCAAACCTGCTCTTTCACTTTCCAGGTTGGAAGGCACAGGGTGATTCAGAGATATCATACTTAACAGCTGGAAAAGGCTCAACAGTCACCCCTCCTGCTGATTTAAAAAAAAAGATGGTAGCAATAGCACAGAGATTTAAGAGTGAGGCAGTTCAAGGGAGGAAAAGGCTAGTTAGCTCTTGGCACTGTCATTTTTTGCTTGTGCATAGAGTTTAATCAGATATTAACTCTTGTTAAAGATATCTTATATGATAAATACAATGCTCAGGATTAAAGACAGCGAAAGCAAGAAAGAATGAGAACAAGGCCAAGTGCCCCTACAGCGTGGGGCACAAATATTAGGAACTCCTAAACTTCAGCTGCTGTTAATGAGGCTCACGACACATTCAGCTCTCTTCCACAGCTTCCATCTGATTTCTGTCATTAAAAGGCAGGATCCATATGGACTCATCAGTACTGACTACAGTGCTGAGCCTTTAGAAAAGAAGGAAAAGAAAAGGTTTGATCCTTGTAGTCATTGTAAATGAAAGGTAATTTAGTGCAATCAGGAATAGCTGAAGGAAGCAGCAAGAAGTCCTCAAACTACAATGAGCGGGCTAATAAGAGTCAGTTGAAAGGCCATTTTAGCCCCTAAGGATTCTTCTGAGGACATCATGCTGGTACTTTGTCTTCTTTAGGGCACAACTGGTTGTGTCTGCTGAGGAAAGTGGCCACAGTTGTATGGCTGTCTAAAAAAAAAAAAAGGGAAAAATACTGTACAGCATTACAAATTTAGTCTCTTGCTAAGTGTTAAGTCTTTTAAACATTAGGGGCCTGCTTCTCCTCTCATACTAGTTCATTGTGATGGTTACTTTTAATATACAGTGCTGAGAGAGGAGAATCACACCTGGGACCTTATAACTACAAACACTGGTCCATATGTGAGAGTGGCTGAGTTTCATTCTTAGCATGGTCAGGGACTACACCTAATTGCTCAGTAGGGAGTAGTCCAATCCTTTGAGATGTGTGGTACCCTTAACTCTGATTGGCTCTAGTGGGTTTTGAGGGTTCTCAGCACTTTATCGGACTGGGCCCAACATAAGCAAAAAGGCACATTTGGCAAGTTTCACTAGTGATTCAGGAACCTTCCTGTGAATCTGTCTAGCTTTCACAATCAATGTCTTCATAACAGGATGATGAAAGCCACATAGCCTTTTTTGCTGTGGATCTCTCTCATTTTTGGTAGAAGATTTTGCTGCTAGCCACTTGGGAGTGGTGGATCATTTTAAGTTGGTGTCATAGGTGACTACCAGTAGCCTTAGCCACAAAAAGGGACATGTACGTTGAAAAAGAACACGATGTCCAGGGGAAGTAAGCATCCTCTGAAATAGGTCTTCATTTAATAAGTGTTACTTATACTTCCCTTAATGTTAACCAGATCTGCTGCCTAGGCTGTTGCTAGTGCTGTTATGACTTGCACTGCTGTTGGCTGCATTTTCTGCTCTCCTTTCAGTTAAATTGCGTTTTGATTTACTTACATCTTTTATGTTCCTCTGGCTGCACCAGCTTCAGTCTGACAAAAGTTGCCATTGTTTTCTCTGCACTTGTGAGTTTCAAGGCCAGAGTTATTTTCAAACTCTCACAGTCACCATTCCATGTACTGAGATTCATTTTCCAACTTTCTAATGCGCATCCTTCAGTAATGCTGTGGCTCTGCTTTTCTTAGGACTTCCGTCACTCCTTTCTTTTCTCATGTTTCATGTCACTGACGTATGAAATAAAGACTCAGTCTTTATTATTCTGCAGTTATTTGTTTTGAACTTCATTGTCTGTTGTTTTTCCCTTGATCTAAGACTTTTTGTAGATATGTGCAGAGTATTATAAGTATGGAGAAAATCCCTGAGTACTGCCAGATGTGGCATTAATTCCTAGAGTACCCAAGGCGCATCATGAAAATTAGAGGAATAGAAGTAGTTATCTCTGAACTGTATTTATCTTCCATTAGCTTTCACTTGCTCCAACTCATTATTTACAATTCTTCTGTCACCCATTATTATAACTGTGCCCCCTCTCTAATTCTTCACACCAAATACAGTATCTAAATATTGAGAGGCTTAATGTAAAAAGCTACTTTACATTACTGTTTTAAATGTAAGTCTTCATTTTAATAAGCATTATCCTTTTTAAATATATAAAATTGCGATTTTTCAGTGACTGCCAGTTCAATTACTCTCAGAGGTGTTGGATTGTCTCTCTCATTTAGGGTATCCTAGAAATGGAATGTTCCCATTAAGTCACCTCTTGGCCAATGCAGAATTGTGTTTTTTTTACAGGACATTTCCACGTGACATTTCACACACATTTGAAAGTAGGACATGGGTAATGCCATGGTGGTTTGAGGATAGTGAAATTAAATCCTGTGTAAACAATAAAAGGAGTTCATGTACACTGCATTATGTGGCCACCCTCTAAGGGGACATCTACTATGATGCCTTCTTTCTTTCAACATTCATGCTCATGAACAACCACCTTGATTTATAAAACTTAATATGACTGTGGGATAAGTTGTGATAGCAAGGGCCTGCACTTTTCTCCATGGTTATAGCGAGCTGGTTGACATAACCACTTATTTCACCTGGCAAGTGTCAGGCCAACTTTACAAGGTCCCCTTCCTCCCTACCCCCAATCAATTTCCTTTCATTTTCTTATCATTGTTTTTTAAGATAACCAGACAGTTACAATTTTTGTGCACTTCCCATCTGTAATATCTGAAGCTATTTTAAGGTACAAATCTTAAGCTCAGTTTTTTTCAGGGGTAGACACACCTGAGCAGGACATGAGTGCAATATTTATTTTCCCTTGCTACCTCTTGTTCAAAAGGTATTCATATCTCCCAATGATAATTCAATACGTCTCATACATTTGTTGCCAGACATTCTGTGGACTTAAATATGCATCCTAAGAAAACAAGAATGGCTCCATGCTCAATTAGGCAAGGGAAAAAGTCTCTAATTAGTCTGGAGCCAGTCAGGAGTGTCTGGAAGCATTTTGCCAATAGGAGCTATAAAATTAAAGTGTTCTTTTAAATCACACATGGGAAAATGAATTAGGAATAGTGTGTTCCATGGGATGCACACTGATGGAGCCCAGAACAATTTTAGTATGTGCGAGAAAGTACTGAACGTACTGCAGTGACAGACCCTAATTAATCCATTGAGCACCATTAATACAGATGTCAGTGTGAATTGCTCCTCTAACCAATAATTTGGAGGTAGCACCTTTCATCTTTTCAATCACAAAAATTCTTCTCTGACATGGGATTTTATACTATGTGACACCATTGACTTTAATGAAGCTAACCCTAATTACATAAGCATAGAACAGAGGACAATCTTGACCAGACTTCAAATCTCTCTCTCCAGTGGTGTTGGTTGAAAAGATCTGAAATTTCAAAAGCTGGAAACAATATAAGGACAGAACTTTAGTTTTCAAAATATATTTTCTCTCCAAAAGCATTTCCAAGAAGTCAGAAAGCTGACCTAATTTTACCTCTTTTCAGTGATACCCACTGGCTTTTTACTTTGGCCGGGATTGTTTTCTTAAATAATAAATTAGTAATCACACTTTGCACTTCTCACCAGAGACTCTCAAAGTGCTTTGCAAACATTAATTTAGCTTCCTCTTACTCTTCTGAGTTAAAGACAGAATCCATAGAGTTCATTCCATCTACCACTGAAATGCAGCTGTTTTTAGGGTAGAATGTTGTTTAACATGCTGTATAATAATTTAGGAAAGAAAGGGAAGAAAAATAATACATGAAATCCTGGCCCTATTGAAGAGAATGGCAAAACTTCCATTGATGTCTCTGGGGCCAAGATTTCATCCAAAGCATCTAAGCACAATGACAGAGAAAGGGGGTGTTAGAATATAATTCCTCATGCTGGAATTTGGTCAGGACACAGGAGTTAAAAACTTACACTCTTATGAAAAGAGCCATGGAATCATTAATGACTACAGGTAACTAGGACCTCCTTTTTTAACTTCCCCTCTAGCAGAATTATGCTCCCTACTTCCACACTGAGACATTGGGTCAAAAAGGAGTCAAAGACCATAATGCCAATGACTAAATCACCAACTCTGTGTTTTTCAGTCCCTTGGAAGTGCTCCAACCTGCTTTGCCTCTTCAGTCAAGTCCATGTCTTCCGCCTCCAGGCCCTGCAGAGACTCCTTTATGGTGCAGGTAGCCAGCCTGGAACGTGCTGGCGCACACCTTCCTCTGCCACCTCCAAGAGCTCCGATACAACTGGCAGTTCTTCTACCTCCATCTGAGGGGTCTCCCATGAGACCTCTTCAAACTGCTGGTCTTCTACCAAGATCTCCTCAGGACCTGGAAGCTGGTCTCGGTGACCAGGTCTGCAGCGGCCACTAAGAGGGAAGATCTCCTCACGGAGCCCGTGCTACACAACCTCGATCTGTGTGGTTGGTGCAGTCCCACGCAATATGCCGGAGGTTGGTCCTGGCTGGTACAACAGGATCGGAGACCTCCTGGACTACAACTCAAGGGACAGGGTAGACCCCTGGTGCTCCACCGGCACCTGGGGCACTCCATCCCTCACGTCTTCCAGAGTATACTCCAGGTGGTGAGGGCAGCCTTACCACCCGCCTCTCAGGCTTTCCTCAAGCAGCTCCTGCAGGAGGGTGCTCCCCATCCACCCCTGGCCCTGTGGGCCTCACCATTAGGCCCAACCCCATGAGCCTCCAGTCTGTCTCTGAACCATGCCTAGGAAACATCTGTGAATGGTCGTACTCCACACCCTTCACTTTCTCACCCTCCTATGCCACCCCAGCACTAAGTGGTGGATATGGCAAATCTCCACAGGTTTGCAAACCCAGGGGTGATGTGGAGATGGTTTTCATTTGATCCCACCAAATTGGAAAAGGGCACAGAGAGATGCATAAGAGATTCTGGTTTGTACCTCTCTCTACTTAATAAAATATCCCTGTTCCCCGCCCCTCCCCCTGAATATGTAAAAAGCTACCACAAAGAGAAATGGAAACTGTAAGCTGTATGGGCACTGCATCAGGTCCAAACATACTCCTTCCTGAACCTGGATTTCAATATTAACTTCAATAAACAGATCTCAGCCCAAACCTCCTACTGAGCTTGGCTGCCTCTAGCCCTCATCCCTGTTTCTCCTTTCTCTTAGAGACACTCTCGACCCTTTATTCTCCTAGATTTGACTTAACACAACTCCCTTGATCTGCCTTCCAGGGCAAGTCAGCAGAATAGTTCTGTGTCTCTGCTGAGCCCTGGCATCTGAAACCTTGCCACAGAAACAGTCGTGTGTTGCAATGGTAAGGGATGTACCATAGGAACTCTGATGTATATTTGTGTAAAACACACAAAAAACAGCCCAAGTTTCCTTAGCCAAGCTAAGCAGTGACTGGAGAAGTTTTCCAGTGAAAGGGCTATTCCTGAAAGACTGTGAGAAATCTGTTGAGGCACCAAATGATCTCTGTATATAGGAACCAATCCTAAAACACCACCATGCATAATGCTTACTACTGTGAGTAATCTCATTGATTTAAGGCATAGTAAGAGTAGACCTGGGAGGAAAATGATCTTCCCATCAGAATTTCAGATTTCAAAAAAATTTCCTGGCCTCAAATCAGGACAAAGTCAAAATTTCATGAACCTATAATCTGAAAAACCTTTTTAATCAGGTGAAATCAAAACATTTCATTTTGGTTTTGACCTTTTTGACCTTTTAAGTATAAATTAACAAAAATTTTGAAAAAGTCATGTTGAACCAAAAAAATGAGATTTTTCAGTCGAAATTTGTCAAAGCGGGATATTTTGACTATTTCAAAACTTTTTTCAATTTTTTTTTCAAATCAGGGGACTAGTCAAAACTGACCCTTTCCTCTGAACAGTTGTTTTCAGCGAGTAGCCATTTTCCAATGACAAAATGTTTAGTTAGAAAATTATTTCCCAACCAGCTCTAGTAGCAAGCACCATGCTTGTAAAAAGTGTTTTCAGGATTGGGCCCTTTGCTGAGACCAGAAACCTAGCTGTTAAAGCAATCTTTCATGATAATTGCTTTCAGTGCCTTTATGACTCCAGGGAACTTTAGAGTTTATCATGCTAATAATACTGAAATTACAGTTGTTTTATGGGATGTCAGCTTCCCGATACATGGAGATAAGCATAAAAATGGGATTGAATGAGATGTCTGGCATTATCTTAAAAGGGCATAACATTTAGATTTAAAAACAAATATTTGTCATATTAATGTATTATATCCTTTGCCTAGAAACATTTTGGAAGACATTTGTTTTTCGCGTTTGCAACCTAGTTAACTCTTTCAAACAAAATGCTTATCAGTCATTCATCCTCTGTTGCTGAGGTTTTTTTCTTCTCCAATCTTCATCTGGTCTCTTTCAACATAACCCTGTCACTCAGCCTCTCTTTGACATCCAGTCCATCAGTACTGATGATATCTTGTCTGCTGTCAACCTTCTCTTCCCTGTTGTCCATTGATATGGTTATTGATTTGTTCTTTCCGTAGCTCACGAAAGCTTATGCTCAAATAAATGTGTTAGTCTCTAAGGTGCCACTAGTACTCCTTTTCTTTTTGCGAATATAGACTAACACGGCTGCTACTCTGAAACCTTTTTGTTCTGTGTTTGTACAGCTCCTAATACAATGGGATCCATGACTAGGGCACCTAGGCAGTATGGTAATAAAAATAATAATAATAGAGCCTTTTGGAATATAAATATGCAGAGATCACACTTAGCTGGTGTGATGGGGTGTACTGGCCCCGCATTGGAGTGGAAGGGGTTAAGGCAGCGCTCTTAGCAGCAGAAGCCACGCCCCCTCAATTTCTGCTGGGCATGCTCCAACTGCTGCTGCAGCATAAAAGAGAGCAGCCTAGCTCAGTGTGGGCGGCTGCCGAGGAGGAAAGATTCACCTTGCCGGCTCCAGCCGAGGAGCAGCCAGGATCTCGGACTGAGGGAGCAGGAGGTGCTGAGGCCCAGGCAGGCACCCAAGCACCCACAGATGCCCTAGGGAGATTGCAGTCAGCACCGGAGGCCCCCTTAGACCCCTCAGACACCTTAACTTCAGCTACAGGAGTCAGAGTAGGAAGCAGCCCAGGGAGGGACTAGCCAGTGTCCCTGCAGCCGTTGGTGTGTTGTGGGCAGATTACCCACCGACTTTGTGGCAAACCCCCTCCCAGCCCAGGGCCCGGTGGAGCAGGGAGGGCCCAGATCCCCCTACCCAGCTGTCCCTCCCACCTTTTTGGGAGGTAGCCCACCAAACATCCCCTTCTATTGACTCTGGTCCTTGGGCCACACTTGCCTGCAGCCAAGGGGAGCCCTATTGAATCTGGCCAATCGGCCGCACTCCCCCGCAGATGAGGGGAGCCCTATTTGTGCCAGCCATTGGACCACACAGCCCTGAGGCTGAGCGCAAGCATCTTAACTTAACTGTGGGGCTACATGCCCTTGCCCCACCCTAGGGTGACAGAGTGTAATGGCCCTGTGACAGCTGGTCACACCAGTTTCTTCAATGGTTTGAGAGAGATATCCTTCATATGCAGCTTTTTAATCTCTCTTCTACAACCACATGAATAAGTTATGATGAATTTATTCAACACATTTTGGCTCTTTTTGTTCATGAATTCTCATTACAGGTATGTCTACATTTTGCAGCTTGGAGCATGACTCCAAGCCTGGGTAGACAGACACACACGAACTTTGCTTCAACTAGGGTGCTAAAAACAGCAGTGTGGACATTACAGGATGGGCTTAGCCACCTGAATGTGGACCCAAGGGCTCAGGTGGGCATGTATTTGAGTGGCTAGCCCATGCCGCAACATCCACACTACTATTTTCAGTTTTTAGCTCAAGCAGAGCTAGCGTGTGTCTGTTTGCTCAGTCTGGGAGGCACACGCCCAGATGCAGTGTAGACATACCCCATAAAATCAAGATTTTTTTCAAATTTGTTTTTCTAGTGCATTTGCCAAATAATTTCTGCAAATACTTCTTGAACTGTAGATTCTTTTGTGAGATTTTTGTTGCAGGCATTGGGTGTTTGAAGTTTGACGTGGATTGCTTAGGTTGGATTGGTCACATGGTATGTTTCTGATATAAGATTGCAGGACCATAACTTGTACAACCAGGTCTCTCCAATGTGGATATTGTTTGCTTTCCAAAATACTCTCAAGTATTTTCTGTGAACATTCCCATCAGTGAAGTTGTTGGCTAGAATATTTATAGAAAGCAAATATAAGAAGCACCAACACAGCTCAAGTAAATTCATTTCAAAATTCAAACAAATAATCCCAGGATAGTTTTTGGCAGTAGCTCTACTTCTGTTGTTGGTTTGCCCAGCTCCACTATTTCATTTTAGCTAATCAGCCAGTTGCAGAGTTCTGAAGCTTTTCAAATTTGGATGCATCCGTATTTATGTGCTTCTAAGCTAAGGTGTAATGGCAGCATCGCCTGGGTGAATGCTGTTTTTCAGCAACATGACTAGCATATCTTTTAAGGTTTTAACAGCACTCCCTGAGTTACTATGTGTTTGGTCAAGCATTAAGTGTATTAAGACTCATTGTTTGTATAGTACCAGTGATGTGTTAACACTTTACTGTCTCTGCCCCAAAGATCTAGTCTCAAAGGAGCCAAATAGAGTAAAACTGTGCTGTCTAAACCAGTTGTAATAAATTTATTTGGCTGAAGAAATCCAATTCCAGCTAGACATTAATTCCTGATTCCATTGTTTTAATGTTAGCATACATTCAGGGAATCACATCCATTTAATCCAAACCAGCAATAAAGACTGCAGCTAAAACATATCATTTTTTTGACACACAAGAGTCACATATTAAAAGGCACATACATTTCCTCCCCACTAACCTTAAGCTGTACTTCAATACTAGTAGAACATGATGGTGAGGTAAACTAGTTTTCTCTTGAAACTTCAGTGGAAAGCAAAAGTCCTGAGAGACTCTAGTTCAGGGAGAAGGAGTACTTGTGGCACCTTAGAGACTAACAAATTTATTTGAGCATAAGCTTTTGTGAGCTACAGGGAGGTGACACTCCAGATTTCAGAAACATGATGCTTTCTGAATCCAGCCATATGTCAAGTGAAGAAAACAAAACTGACTGAATGTTTAAACATTTTTTGTAATTTACAAGCAGTAGAATGAACTGCATTTAGGATGATAATCACTGTATTAGACTTGGTTCCCCTCCCACTTACACTGGTGTCAGTGAAAAGCAACTTCACTGAAATCAATATAGTTACACTAGTGGGTAAAAACCATTTCAGTATGGAATGAAATAATATTTCAGAGAGGGAAAATAATAGAATCCTCCCTACCCAGCAGAACCATCACAATTCCACAGCATATGGGGGCTGCTGTAGTTGTGAGGATTTGCCCTTTCATAATTATCTCACAAAATACCACTTGATATAAGTACAATCTTGAAGTAATGGGCCTGACTCCCAGTGGTGTTACTCCGGTTTTAAGCAGGTGTAAGTAATTCCCTTGAGTTCACTGCCTGGTATTCAATTCACTGACTTCTCTCTATTAAATTAAATGGAGGCACTAGCAATCCAAGAAATATAGTGATGAATAAGACCCAACCATTGCAGCCGCTGGTTAGTAAATCATAGTATCAAAATACAATGTTCCTGATACTGAGCTTACAATTTTTCCCCATGAAATATTTGCAAAATTATTAAAATTATACCTAAAATTACACAAGATTTATTTCTGTGCAAACTGATTTGTTTTCAAAATTGTGAAAAATCAACATTTTCCACTCAAAAATAGGATTGCTTTGGGGTAAGTTTTCCAACTTCAAAGGAAATGCACAAAATCTTGTAGTTTGCTGTTCTGAGTTTTGGCAGGGGGGCATTGACTGGTCTGCAGATCTGCATTAGCAGACTCTTACTCCCATGTGGATCTCACTGAAGTCATTTGTAGTCAATGGGATTAGGACTTTACCCATGCAGATCTCTTTGCAGGAACAGGCTATAATTGGCCCAATTATATCGGCACTGGGGAGGGATTGAGTCTCAAAGTTACAATTCTCCCCATGAGTACATCTTTGTTTCCAGGGGAAATAATCTACTGCAGCCCAGGGAAAGATATAGTTTATGTCCCCCTTTGATCCCCAGCCAACTATGCTGAATAGCAGGCTGAGGTAACAGAGCTGCAAGGCTCCACATTCACCCCAACTTTTTGTGAGGACTGGTGCAGCAGCAGTGCTTGACTAAGTTCAGAAGCCATGATGTGAGCAGCCCTAAAGCCATGCAATAATGTCTAGGCCCCTATTTCTTGTTACTGCTCTTCCTGGCTGTCATAGTTTCAGGGTAAATGCACCTGTTTTGCCTCTCTCTGTGGTCCACTCCAGTTGTACCCAGTCAGGTCTGAGGTCGCCAGCTGTCGCCTGTCTCTGGGCACGTACCCTTGGCCATCTCCCTTCTGACCAGGGGGTTTTAAGGCTGCACAGCTCCCTGCCTTACATTGTGATATCCCCAGCAAACCAATCTGCCTAACACCCAGTGCATGTGTGTATTGCTTCCTCACCGAGGGCTATGAACAGTGTATTTCCAACAGTTACAAGTTACCATACAACTCTTTCTAAGCAAGCACATTTATTCTTAAGGTAAAAGCATTACAGAGAAAATATGTAAAATAATAAAAGTTCCTATACGCATGTTAACAGCTTACCAGAGGTCAGCCATCTGTCTTTTGGGACCCTAGTATCCCAAAGTCTTTCCAATCCTTCTGCAAAAGGTTGAGGCTCCCCTTGGACAACAGGTCCTGCCCATTTTCTGGGTCGGTTTAAATGCAGCCTTTTTTGTATAAAAAGCCCTTTATTTGTCCATTGATCTCTGGAAAACCCTGTCTGAACTAGTATATGCAAGCCTCTTCAGGTACCTCTTAGGAGGTGCTTACAACCTAAGAAATGCACCTTAATCACTTGCTACTGTTCTTAGTTCCTGGCAGAACTGTGGCAACCCTCACCCCTGGAGCTGCATGCAATACATAATACATTACCCATTCATAAACTTAATACAATAAGTTGCAATATCTGTCACAATGGCATAGTCAGAATCTAATAGTTAATTAGTAAACTAGTACATTTCCTTATGTCTTTTTTTTTTAAATAAAGAAAAATAGTATGGATAAAACCTAAACTACTTGGAGTCACTTAGGGAAATTCTCACATGAACAGAAACTAACATGTTTGACCCTTTTTCTCATTTTTATACCAATTGATAGCAGTTTCCTGTGACCATGGACACTCAAATATGTGTACACTGTGTTGACATAAATAGTAATCTATGGATCTTTCTTTCAGTTTCCAGTTCTACCTCTGAGATATCACAGTAGCATTAAAAGATTTGTCATTGTAGCATATTATGAAAGAAATAATTGTTAGCATATCAATTACTGGAGATCAATTAGTTGCCAAGTACCAGTCTAGACACAAACAAGTGACATTTATAATAAAATCAAAGCAAAGCTAGACAAAATGCTACGTCTAGCCCTCCCAGTATGTCTTGGTACAGCACTCAGAGCAGAAGCAGAAATGTTTATGCATTCCCCTCTCCACTACAGTCAATTCCTACACTATCTGTTTCCATTT